TTTTTAAAAGATTAAGAATTAATTAAAATATATTAATTTTAATAATTGAGTAATGTGGTAGGAGAATTTGTTATTTTAAATTTTAGCAACATGGTACATGTTGGTGATGGGTGGTGGATTTGAAATTCAAATATGTTTTAGCAACATGGAGCATGATGCTAATAGTGTCGTAACCTTTCAGCAACATAAAGTATGTTGCTGAAAGTTCTTTATATACCCTTATCCTCAGCCATTTCCATTTGTTCTGCAGATCTATCCAACTCCTTTTTTCCTTTGAGCTGCACTATCCTCAACCATCTCCATGTGTTTTGCAATCGTCTCCACCTCATTCTCATGCGTGCTGGTTTATCCTTAACCATCTCCATGCATTTTGCAATTCTCGCAGCTTCCTTCTCTTGCATGCTGCACCATCCTCAACCATCTCCATGTATCTGTTCTGCATGCAATTTTCTCCACCTAGCTCCTTCTCCTGCGTGCTGCAGTATCCTCAGCCATCTCTGGGTGGCATTCTGCAATTCTCTTTGCCTCCTTCTCCTATGTGCTACACTATACCATCTAATGATCCGCGCGCCGCCTCTCATCCAGACCTCCAGATCTAGAACTCTCAGCCTCTGTTTTTTTGTTAATTCCCTTGAAGCATATTGTATGAAATATTTTTGTAAATATTACATTATTAATTAATTAGGTATCAATTTATTTGAAAGTTAATATATTTATAAATAATTATATATAGTAATTAATTTAATTTTGTTATTTTCTTTGTTTTGTATGTAATTATTAATAAAATAAAAAATTCAAGTTTAGTAAAATACTCTATCAGACCATAAATATTAATTAACTTGAGTTTTTTAATTTATATACATTTATTAAGCTAAAAATTAATTAATGTATCTAATTAATAAATATTTTTTAATTTTTTTAATTATGTATTTTGATACATCACCCATAAGGGGTATGTTGCTGAAAATGTGATTGGTGTCATTGAAATAAACATTAGCAAGGAGGGGTAAGTTGTTGAAAAGTGGGAAATCATTCTCCCCGCAACTTTTACCAATACAAGTCACATTACTAAAAATATGGTTTCAGCAACATGGCTTTTCTTGCTGAAAATTAGGCAAAATTCCAGTGCTAGATTCCAGCCATATTCATTTTAATTTTTAGCAATATGAGCCACATTGTGGAAACCCTATCTTTAGCAATGTGGCTTATGTTGTTAAAAAGGGTGAGAGAATTCACCACTCATTCTCACCAGATTACGGTGAATGTTTTCAGCAACATAAACTATGTTGTTAATACTATATTTTCAGCAATGGGGCATATGTTGTTGATGCAATAATAACAAAATTTTGATTGATAATGTACTACCCATTAAGCCTTCTCCAACAAAATTTTTAGCAATCAAAGCCATGTTACCGAAGGACTTTTAGCAATATGAGAAGTACTTTTAGCTACATGTTTCCATGTTACTGAAGATAAGGATTTTAGTAGTGTACCGATAAAGGTATGGCCAAACATGTTGGGTATTGGACCCCGGCAGGCCAGTTATTATCCATGCTTTTGGACATGGATTTATCCTAAATTTAATATTGACCTTTTCTCCGTAACTTACGATCCCTAATCGAGGATGACTTTGGGGACGGGACGGGGGTGGTGGTTGGAATTTGGTGCGGATGATATGAAGTTACGAAAAGGAAGGTTCGAAAGGCCCGCTCCGGTTCAATGATGGATCCTAAGGTAAGGCTATTCATTTTTATGGATTATGTGTTTGAATTTTACAGAATTTTTTTTTATATCTTAATTATTACATATAAATAATTGTAATTTGTTAAAAAAAAAAAATTCGTTGCTTTTGACCGGAAAAGAAGAGACTGAATAATTACCCCGTATAATATGATTGCTGATGTAAATTTCCTTCTAAGGCCATTGCACTTGATAACAAAATGCAAATCATCCAGTGAGTTGTAGCTTTGTAGGAATCTATTGTGTCTCATGTTGGATATAAATATTGCGTTGAAATTTGAATTTATATGTCTAATTTTCACAGTATGAAGTATAATGTGGGTTGCACGACGAAAGGATTTATTAAGCTTGTTTGTTAATTAGAAATCTACATAACATGACTAAATGCTTTATAAGTGCAAGAATATGTTAAGAAAAATCTCACACTATTAAATTAATAAAAAAATATTAATTAAATACAATGAAAATTATTTTTTTATTATTAATTGATCTTAAATTAGATTCATTTAAAAAAAATTATTCCTTACCTTAATCAAGATTTAATTTTTCAAAATATAAAATTTCAAAAATTTCTAGCTACTCTTGACAAATACATGACAAAAATGCAAATTAGGCCACCCATGGAGATTGCCTTGAAATGACATATCTTGTATGTAGAGGAAACAAGACAATGCTCTTGACCGGAGAAAGGAAATGCAGAAAATCCCTGCATCGGTCTGATCAGCTCTTACTTTGTAGTTTTTATACATTTTTTCCCCAACACGGCACCTCTCTTGACGAAGAATATATGCAAGGTTAGAGACGGACGGAGCCAGCATGCGAAAGGGGGGGCAGCTTTTGAAAATTTTTTAATATGGTATAAATATTTTTTAATAAAATTTTATTTTTAAAATTTAAATTATAAGAACTATTTAAATATAAAGAAAATTGTTATAACTTAATTAAAAGAATTATTTGTGACTAATTTTTATAAAGACACAATAATTTTATCTAGCTTAATACAAATATAAAAAAAAAATAGTCACTAATTTTATGGTATAATTTTCAAATGCTTGAGTTTAAAAAATGTAGAAAAATTATTAATATATTTTTTGGTTCAATACATTTGTTAATACTTATCAATTTAACCATTAAATTTTATAGTTAAAATCTTTTTTGTTGTGAATTTAAATTTAAAAATAATTTTTTTAATAAATATATTATAAAATATGTTAAATTAAATAATATATCAATCATTATAAAAAAAATCATTTTGGGGTTTTATAAGACTTAAATTTTTTAAAGTTGAACTAATAAACAGTATCCACTCAATACTTGGAGAAAAAAAAAAGAGACTGTTAACCAATTTGCCTGGAAAAATGTCGGGTATAAAAAAGAAAAAATGATATTGGAAATTATGCAATTGTGAACATTGCTTAATTAAAAACTAAATAAAGTGATTGATACATATTTCGATTTAAAATATTATGTGACATATTTATTAAAAAATTATTTTTTTATTTAAAATTAAAAACAAAAAAATTAATAATACAATTATATACATATAATATATGAATCAATTGAATTAATTATATTTATATTATATTTTTAATAATTAAATTAAAAATATATTAAAAAATATGTTATGATGTAATAATCATTTTTCCAACTAAACATAGAAAATTGAGCTAATTTATTTGTGAGTGACTTTTCAGGCAACAGATGTGACTCGGTGCCCGCGAAGTGAAGACCACTAACGTGCAGTAAAATAAACCTGAAAGCAACATCTTCATTTCTTTTGAGACACGGTTCTGAGTTCACATGGCTAAGAAACATATTATCCACGTGAAAGAGATAATTGTACCTTTTCTTTGTGTTGTCTTTTTTATGCACGTTAGATGATATAGATTATACAATAAAATATAATTTTTTATCTTAATTATATAATAAAAAATAATTATATCTTATTTTTTATCTCACTCTACATGCATATAATATGATTTGAATTCAGGATATTTTACTTTTAATAAAAAAAAAATCACTGAATTACTTAAGTCATTTATTTTTTTTCC